CAAAAATATTTTTAGGTTAAAATCTAAAACAAACTTTCAATTACATTTACAAGCACAGACCGTAGCAATGTTTATTACACAAGTATTTATATAAACTAACTATCTGACTCGGCAAACGTTGTTTTGCCATATCAATTAAATGCAATTGCAAACGGAACGCACGCATAAAGTGTTTGACAGGTCACACAGACATAATTGAGAGATTGACAGGTGCAGTTTGTATGGGAAAATAAAATTGTTGCTATTTGGATTTTCCATGCAATTTTTCCATAATTTGTCATCGATTAAACCTTCTCTCGACTGCCACAAATATTTCAAAACCAAAATTAGCCAAATCGGGCCAGCTGTTCTCGAGTTTTAACGTGACTAACGAACAGCAATTTATTTTTATATATAACTAATTAACCTTTATAGAAATGAACTAACGGGAATGTCAAACTAACTATACTACGTAATAGGAATTAAATTTATTTACAAGAGTCAATAATTTTTTTTCATTATTTTTAATTATTATTCATTATTTTCCCACTCATGCAACAGCGAAGATTGTTGCATGAGTGGGAAAACTCCTGGTCAGCTTTTCAAACTGTTTTCATACTTTTCTTTCTAATGTTGTGAGAATAATATTTTTTTAAATTTCATGTCTACCTGAAAGGTAAATAAAACTAGGAATGTCGACAGCCTCACAATGTTACAACGTGTTGACATTTTAATAGTTGGTCTTAGTTTTGCTTTAGTAACAGACGTCAGTTCCGTTGCGCGTTATATTTCCTCGGAGACACCTGCGAAGCTAGAATAATAAAGAGCCTTACGTCGTCTCAAAATGGCACTTTTTCTCGCAATCCAACCGCAATGTGCACTTAAGGGATTTGAATAACTTATGTGGTAGATTTTATTTATTCCACGCAACTCCCGAAAGATACTCGAACTGAATTTTGGGACGTTACTTTAAACCGGTTAAACTTCTTAATGCGCTTATCCTTTCAATCCTCATGTTTGATCTACTTATTTAAAACATAGCCTTGTTACGCCACGGGGAAAGAATTATACAAGTCCTGGATAACATTGTGAATGAGACTAGGAAAATACAAATTTATATAATGTAATAAAGTTAGTTTTTAGCAGTAAATGGTACACGTGATACAATTCAATATACTCCAGCAAACCGAGTACAAATCTCGGTGCCGACATCGATGAAATTTTTAATTGCAATTTAAAATGCTGTTCTATCTCGTGTTCAGCGGTGAAGGAAAACTTCGCGTGGACATCTGCATACTTTCGAAATGATATTAAAAAAAACCGGCCAAGTGCGAGCCTGACTCGCGCATGAAGGGTTCTTTACCATTGTATATAAAAACGGCAAAATCATGTCTGTTGTATGGGAGCCCCTCTTAAATAATTCTTTATTCTATCTTTTAGTATTTGTTTTTATACCGGCAACAGAAATACATTATCTGTGAAAATTTCAACTGTCTAACTATCACGGATCATGAGATATAGCCTGTTGACAGACGGATAGACAGACAGACAGACAGCGGAGTCTGAGTCTTAGTAATAGGGTCCCGTTTTAACCTTTGGGTACGGAAACCTAAAAAGTATTGAATATATGTGAAGTCCGACAATCTGCTTTTGGCTTCCGTGGTGCTCTATAACCTAAAACCCTCCCCACGGAGGGGACCTTTTCTCAGCAGTAGAACATATAAACGCTGTTACTTTACTTTTAGTTAAGTATATCAGTTAAATTGTTTTTTACATAAATTCGGAGCGTACAATAAAGACTTAATAGTTTGCTTTAACAAGATGTGCCCAAGAATAAGTTAACGGGTTTTGATCGATCATGTTATTTGTTAAAATAATCACGATAAAACCATCAAACTAGTTTTTTCTAATATTTACATAAATTAACAAATTACGAAGAAAACCAACATAGTAGGTTTCAATCGAAGGGACCTATGTGATTCCACCAAATTCACGTAATACCTGCATAAACAAAGATTCGAACCGCGCCATTGCTTTTGGCTGAAATCCAAAAGTCAATTACCGAACGCCGACTTTCAGATAACTTCTACAATTATATCCGAATTATGTAGGCACACCTAACGAGCATTCTGGGAAGATTTTAACGACTTGACATAGTTCAGCAATTAAGGTTATCCAGTTGTTAGTCACATCGCTAAAGTAATAAACGTTTTCGCTGGGCGCCGCTGTTAAAGATTTATTCAGATTTGGCGTTCAGAAGATAAAAATGCCTCGCGGTTATTTTTTAACACAGGTTATAAAAAAGTCGCATTTTGAAATTGAATTTATTAAGCGGCTTTAGAAAATTGCTATGATGATTTTTCGATTTCATCAGAATTTGAAATTATTTGCATATGTTTTATGACACACATTCTTACTTGTTTAAAGCACCAGTATCATTCTAAGGCCATTCTGCTTTTAGCGTAATCTTGCATTTTGATTTTTTTTGTGAACTTAAGATTTTGGAATATAATTGAACGCAATAACATTAACAGAACTGCTGCGTTTAATAATGTGAAATATGTTCGTAAACGCAAGAAATCCTTAAAGTGCTATATTGTAAGAAAATACTTTTAGGGATTCAACTAACTCGTAAATTTTACTTTTGAATATATGGGAGATTTTCTTTCAGATAAATTTAAGGAGTATGTGTTAGAGAAGTGCAGGTTTGTACTATGGAAAATGATCACTGACTCTGTGAAAAGTTATGGCTAACGTTTTAGAGGACTCACAAATAAAGAAATACTTACCTTCTACTTCACGTCTGTCTTCTTTGAGGCCTCGATACTTACCGGGTCAATCTGGGAATTGCATGTAGCAGAAGCGGCTCATAGTGATTGAAAAGCTTTACAATCCTTACAAAATGACATTATTTTCTTTAAAACTATATTTAACCTTACAAACTATACAAGTACATGTAATTGGTAGTGTCTTCATTATTAAATAAACGCTTTTCAAAATAAGGATTTTTTGTTAGAATACACCGATACATTTCTCGGATCTGATCGAAATATTTTCACAACGAAATCAGTTCAACAAAGAGAACTTATGGCTAAGCTACGTATAGCTACAGTGCGATATGTTATTTATGTATACTTTTATTTATTACTTTTTAATGCAAAAAAAAAATACAGATGCGAACATAATGCCATCAGCATTATCTGCCAGGTGTCACCTTTGGCTGGTCCAGAGAATTTTGCTATGTAGGTGAGCAAATATAAAAGATAAAGTTCCAAGTAAAATTCCGGCAATAAGAGCAGGGCATAGACCGGTTAATACAGCGGAGGGAAGCAGAGAGTGTTTTTCCAAGCAGTCTTTCTGATTCCTAACCGTGTCTTTGTCGTGCGAGTGCACTTCATACATGCGAAAGAGCTTTGCATACCCTATCATCCCATATAAACATACCCGAAACACTGACACTGTCTGAAATGTCTATGTCACTTCTCAGAGAATCTTTAGAGACGGCCATAAGTTTTGCAAGTGTTTGTTTTGTTATTCGTTTTTATGCGTGCATTATGTACAACATGGTTAAATTTCACTAATTCAGCAAGCTTAATAACTATTGTATCGACCCACAAGTTACAAGCCGCAACTTCTGGATTTACTGCCGACGCCGCGTGTCGCTAATGTCTTGCAACTCTTAGCTAAGTTTGCTAACTCACTTAGAATAACCGTGAGTGTAATAAATCCAAGGATAACATTGTTAAGGTGTTCTGAGCACACACAAAAAATAATCTTCATAAGTTTTTTGGGAGAGAATTATTTTATAAAATAAAAGAACGACACTTTCAAATTATTTTATATGGTTTTAGTATGTTGTCAGCAATTATTTTGTTTAAAATATGTCAATTCATAAATATGCTACAGCTTAAAAGCCAAACCTAGAAGACTCACCTGGTGAGTCGTGTAAACTGGACCCACTTTGTTAGAGGTTTACAACGATACTGGACGCTGGTCCATAAAAATATCCATACTATCCAGTGTGGATATTCATGGATAAATATGGGAATTACTGGGGATGGAAATTACTTTACAATTACAACTGTCTGCGAGAACACCACTGGTCTTCTTCCAAAACAAAATGTTAATGATTCTTCGTTTGGATCTTGCTTTATTCTACTGTACTTTTTATTGTAACATTTTCAAAAATTGTTAGAAAACATCTGAAATTAAACTTAGTGATTTTTATAAACTTTCTAAATATTGCCATCAATAAAAATTTTACTGTTTGTGTAATATTAGAAACTCAATATAGTATAAATAGGTTCCTTTACCTTCTAAAGAATTATGAATTAATATTATAGAATAAGTTTCAAATGGTATATTTAGTAATAATTGTATTACTTTCTGTTTTTGGTAGATTTTATTAAATGAAATTATTTCCCAAGAATAATTTATGATTAACTTCAGATAGTAAATAGTTTATGCATTCCAAGTAATGTATTTTAGGTTACTTTAATCGAATTTATTTATTTTTATTAGAATATCAAGATACAACAAAAATGAAAAGGTACCTAAGTAATGTGCAAAAGGTAAGCATAACTCAATGCATGAGTGTTCTGCCAGCCAACCTGGTGAGAAAATATGTAATTCAAGGTAGCTTGAAATGTGTTCAGTGCACAGTGGAAGGAAGTTATAGAGCTCACCTTCATTGAATCGGTTAAGTTCATAAGAATTTGGCAATCAGACTATTATAATAATATTAATTTGAATATGAATATTTGGCTATGTTAATGTAGAATATTCTAATAAATAAACATTAGAAAAAATATCAATGGGTCCTTTATAGAATTCGAAATTATTTTATTGTTATTAGTACTGAATTAATAATACGTTTGTATATAAAATACGAATTATATTAAGAAATTAACGCTAAACGAACTGAACAATACTTTTGTCAAGTAATATTTCTTAAACCTATTGAAACGTAAAAAATCTCTTTAAATACGATGTGCTTTTCTGTTAAAACAGAAAAGCTATTAATTTTTGTACACAATTGCTTCGTCTTCTTCCTTCTTTACCGCTTGTATCAGAACCATCGACATGACAGCATTCACAACCTGAAGAAAAAAAATAATGAAAATATCAGTTATATAAGTCATATGTTCTGAAAATAATAATGCCATTAGTTATAATAGCTGTTATTTACATTCGTAAATATTTAATCGCCAACCATTTGAAAAGTGGGTTCAAGCAATCTCATTCACGGAAACGTGAAAGTGTAATACTTCCAATTCAAGCCAGTCTTCTGTGATGCTATGGTGTTTCCCCTGGAGTCTGCCCATTACTTCAACAGCAGAAGCTTTTGAGTGGCCAATCAAATCAAATTTTTAAGATAATTACTTACGCAGATCATGCATGAAGCAAGAACTATGCCGGCCAACCATCCGGTTTTGCTTTCTAAGTACCAGGTTAACTCGTCCACGCAACCGTGGAAATACGCATTCCCAGTGACCGAGTCACGACACTCAGCCGGCAAAGGTTTGTTCAAGTTTATGAAATCCATTGGGCCGTCTGCGCCACAGCAACCGATCTGTAATAATAAAATGTTGTAATTTCCTATGGCTTACTGTAATTAGGCCGAGATCTCACAGGCAGTGATATTTTACAGCGCACTCAGAAATTTGTTATTACGTCCTGCCATATATGTTGACCGATCTGTAATAATAAAAACTTGTGTTTTCCTATGGCTTACTTTAATTAGGCCGAGATCTTACAGGCACTGATATTTCACAGCGCACTCAGAAAATTTTTATTACGTCCTGCCATATATGTTGACCGATCTGTAATAATAAAAACTTCTGCTTTCCGATAGCATACTTTAATTAGGTCGAGATCTCACAGGCACTGATATTTCACAGCGCACTCAGAAATTTTTTATTACGTAAATTTTAATGATAAGCGATGCACTAGACAGTTGGGCATAGTGCCGCACTTGACACTTAGATGATTTTGTAACGGATTTTTATGTGAATAACACATTACAAACTATTTTTGATGATGACTAATGATTTTTTAAATAATAGGGAAATAAGAAAACCCTTATTTCCGATGCCATTCAAACAAGTTACCATAGCAAATAATTCTTCTACAGCTTTTAGTAAAACAATACAAAAACAGTCAAATCAATACTAGAAATTTTAAATTTTTTATAGTTCTAATCTCTGCACTCAAGATTGAACAATTTTCTACAAATTTTAGAAAATCAATACTACTTTTCAATATCATAAATGATTTAAATTTTATACTTACCCCTTCTTGAACCATTCTAAGAATCTCCCGACTACCTTCGTGTTGTGGATTGTTCATAAGCCTCATGATCACATCTTTAATAAGTGGTTGTATACTTGAGTCGTATGTAGAGAAATCCAAGACGACACAAGCACCGATCAGACCAAACACGAACACTGCTATTTGTGTAGCTATGAACTAAAATCAAAATGTTCAGTAAAGTATAACAAATAATCAAATCGTGTGTGTAAAACGCACGTTTAAAGTTATACTTATTTAGTGTAACCAAAATAAAAATAACTAAACATTTTATCGCCTGTACCAGTAATCTTTTTTGTGAAAAAGATATTAGATGCAACTGATAACGGTTTGTAATGAATATAACTGATGAATTATATATAAATGTCAAAAAGTTGTTATTGGTTGCCACGGTCAGGATAATGTTATGCTAAAACTTACCCCGTATAAAAGTACAACATTCTCCATTAGGGCCGATCCGCAACCAAGGAATGCAACAACCATGATTCCTAATGAGCCAATAAGTATGATATAAATTCCAATGAAGTACTTCTGAAGTTCCAAAATTCTCATCCATTCATTGAAACCAGGCTCAATACAAATCCACAGACAAAGAGCAAATACAGACACACCAAATAACTGAAAAGGAAAAAAATAAATGCATCAAGCCCTTAAAGAGATTTCAGATATGAGTTGTGTTGTTGTTGTTGTTGTGTAAATCAAGTTATCATTTTATGAATTTCAAAAAGAAAAATCTATAAAAGTAATTAAAATTGCAAAAGGAAATATAAAAGAAAGCGTGTGACAAGATCGAGATGAGACGAAAGACTTGAAGATAGAAAAAATTAGTTAAATTAATTCTGTGGAATTAAGTGGTGGAGTCAGAACGCGGTACCCGTAGTACATTTGTACATATGTCAGCCAAATTGGAGACACACTTAAGAAGGGTCGCGTTGAGAGTGCTCGTTCCTAACAAGCATTTACTTATGTATCTGAAAAACAGCAAGATTAGTAAGAGAGTAGTAGAGTAGAGTATTTTATGTAATATTGATATGCCTCGCTACTCCTTTTCCTTATTTAGTTTGTATAATTCAAGAACGTCGTATTCTTTATAAAAAGGTTTTTATCAAGCTTTTGTTTAATAGGTAACTATGATTGATAAAAGTTTATGTTTTATTTATTTATCCGAAAAGCAAACAATATTTATTAGCCCGTGGGAACCATTAAGTTTTAACAATACATATAAAGTATAGACATCAATTTAACCAGTATTACTTTTACTCAGTCATAAAGTGGACCACAGTTGTATTCACAACATTGCTTATTCTGCTTTGTGAAAGCTTTTGTCGAGACAAATATTATGTTATCTTTATTTTTTCAGCTTGGTCTTACTAAGTAAGCAAGATTCATTTAGTAACTTTCAATTTTGATGACTGAAATAAAAATCGATTCGTAAGGATAATAAATTAAACACCTTATTTTATTTTGGAGATAATTGTGGTACGTCCTGTATTTCAAAAAAAAAATGACGTTACTGTTCATGTTTAATGCTAATCATGAATCAAAACAGTAAAGTAACGAGGACGTAAATCATGATAAATATAGTTTTAAATTTAAAATACGCACTGTTAAAAAAATCTTTACTCAGTCGATTCGCTGATAACAAAAATGTATTAAAACATAAACACGAGATTTTTCGTACAATGTTAGAAATTGTAAATGTAATTGGCAATAATAAGTGACACTGAAGCAGCTGTGATTTTGATATTGATTTATTCCTTATTTTTTATTGCCTGACAAATATTGTATATGTTATGCATGTTTTGTGTACGTGTTGGTTAGAGGCTGTGGCTCTTTATCGGTTGAGCCGACTCATTCGTATACCAGCAAAACCTATTACTTTGATCTACCCTAGTTAAAGTATCTGTTAATACTATATAGATATGTATAATATTGTTAACGTATATTTAAAAAATAATAACAATTGATAGTAATAATTAAATGCCGTTTTGTTATTTAGTTATTGACCGGAAATGTCACGTAGAAACTAAAATCAAACGACGCTTTCACGATGTTTAACAAATAAACATTAGAGGGATATTTCTTTTTCCTTGCGTATAAACATTTGTCGTATTTTTCTACAGTTACATTTTATAAAAAAATCCATTTAAGTTTATACAAAGGGAGCAATAATATGTTGGTTCCAATAACAATCTGCTACGTGCATACGGTGTTGGTGAATTTTCTTAATTAAGTTAGCTTAATATCTGTTGCTTCGACTCGCAAGTTGCGAACAGCAATTCCTAGATTTACTACCAGCACCACGTGTGGCTAATGAATGCTACTTACTGCTAAGTATCTAATAAGACCTGTGTTTTATAACGAGCGGGACTTGTGTTTCTTTTTAATTTCAACTGGTTAATTAAAACGAAACAAAGCATACCATGCGAAATTTAATAAGAACTAAAAAAACTCTTAAATTGATCTCTTCCAATCATGTTACTCTTAATTTCAATCAAAATTAGCTCAACTTAATATCGTTGAAATAATATAAAATTTGGTTTTTAAAAACCGGAACTAAAACGATCTATAATAAAGTTGAATCAACCGTTTAACATGTATGTTAAATGATTCAGAATGTGACAGTATTGTACTTGGAAAACGGGTCATATTTCTTATCAGTTGCTGATAAGACATCGGTTAGGCTGTACCCTTTATTTTGGCGTAAATGTAATATTGAAACAATTGCAATATTTTTTTCGTCAACCATGATGAATATCTAAACTGCCATTATATATCTATATTGTTCATATTGCGAAGTAGTGCAAAAATGTGATCACGGTAATTGATGAGTCAGATGAGGTTTTCTGTTCTTTTATTAATGGATGAAATGCACACAATGGACTGAATGAAAACGAAACAAATTTTGAACTAACCCATAGTACGACGTTGAAGCAGAATAGAGTGTACTTGATGCAATAGATTTGAGACTCCAGTTTCCCTACAGCGGGCCCTTGCCCATCACCTCTGCCAACTCCCGCCATGACACGTTCTATCAATTTTATACTGTATCTTCTTGCCGCACAAACACTTAGTCTATCCACACGCTAGCTCAAACGAACTGATACTGATTTTCACGAAGATAAACGCATTACACACAGCCACTTTATCGATGTTTACTGTGATAAAGAGTACGAAACGATAACGGACCAGTACGAAATACCGCACCTGTATTCTGTTTTGTTCCATGTTGAAAATCACTTTGTGCCGTAGTCTTTGAGGATGTAATTGTTCCATTTTAACTGTTTAAAATTCGACAAATATTTTTGTACTATTATCACATAGGCATGAGTATAATATGGGAAAAGAAAATTTATTAATAAACTTGCTGTGCCCGCGACTCCGTCCGCGTGGAATTTAAAATAAAAAAAAATCTAAAATAAAAGTAGCCTTAGTTACTCCTTATTACATCAACTATCTGAAATATCTATACAATGAAAGTCACGTCCAAATCGGTCCAGCCGATTCAGAGATTAGCCGGAACAAACCGACAAAAATTGTAAAAAATGTTATTTCGGTATATATACCGTGTCTACATCCATATGCATTTAGTAAAAAGCGGTTATTTTAATATTACAAACAGACGCTCCAATTTTATTTATTTGTAAAGACAAACTAGCTGACCCGGCAAACGTTGTTTTGTCATATAATTTTTTTTTAGGGTAGAAAAAAATGTTTGGGGTGGACCACCCTTAACATTTAGGGGGATGAAAAATAGATGTTGTCGGATTCTCCACCCTGGCCGATATGCACAATTTCACGAAAATCGGTGGAGCCGTTTCGGAGGAGTTCAATTACACGAGAATTTTATATATTAGATAAATAAATTTATCCTGATTGATGAGAAACATGTATCATGTGTAATATATATCAAGGATATTTTTATTTCACAGAGATTACAGCCAGAAAGTGGTTCGCCTGATAGTGAGTAAGGATCATGATCCACAAAGACAACGCCAGTGGTGTAGCCGGATTGTTACAAAACATGTTAAGTCACTTCACTAACGGAAAGAAATGACCTAACGCCGACCTTCGCCGAGAGGCTGTGGTACTTCGTTGGTCAAGATAGATTAATTAAAGCATTTGGATCTTAAGTAACGATCAAAGTAATTAGGTAATGTATCTAGTGTTATATTACAAGCTTTTGTTGGCCTTCTACGGTACATAAAGTTAGTGGGTCGCAGTCGTAATAGTTTTTTTAGTTAACTTTTTTTTAAAACATTGCCCTTACTTTAGGATAACATTATCCTGTGTTGTAAGGACTTTTAACAAACATAAATTTCATGCGGACAAACACCCAGAAACAACTATTTGTGTAACCCACAGATAGTTGGAAACATCTATCTGTGGGTCACACAAATAATTGTCCCGTGTGGGAAATCGAACCCACGACCCCCGACGCCGAAGCCAATACCTTGGGAAATGCGCTACACTACGCTACAATAGAATTTAGTTATTGGCATTGAAAATAAATAATTGTGTCACACAAGTTAGAGACAAAACTACTATAATAAACAGAAATGTTCATTAAAGTGAGGTGATGCCGTTTAGCTTAATTGGTAAAGTCTAGGCGCGTCTAGGTCGAGTCTAAAATTTGCTAAAAAAATGCGCTAAAATTTTTGATCATTTATCTACAAAAAAAATATATAATTAAAGTGATAAAGAATCCTTATTTCGACTATCAACTAGCTTTACGTAAATTAAAGAGCGATTTTCGCATTTATAGAGTTTTTATTAGATTATCTAAGATTTAATTGTAAACTTTTCCTTTATTGTATTTTAATAATTTGTTTTATAAAGTTTGATTGCTGTAATTTTTAGCGGGGTGATCAAAAGTCGCTGTCAATTTAGGTCAAATTAAAATTTCAGGCAAATTATTTTTCGCAACTAAAACTTTATTTAACTCTGCCTTGGACGATTGAAAAACAAAATAAAAAAATAATAAACTAACCATGAACCAAAAGGTGTAAAAAATATATTTCAGATTGAAATATATTTTACACAACTAACGTTAAAAGCCTGATTTTAGTTTAGTCTTTTAGAAGTGTATACCGAATTTTGTGTTGATATACGAAAGTTTTCATATGAAAAGTTTACCCATGGATGTTATTCACATACCACGTCCAAAACACAATATTTAAGCCAAATAACTTTATGGTACGTGCTTTCAAAAAGTATATTTTTTCTTTCTGTTTTTCTATCTTTGTCTAGCGAACATTATTGAGATTAAAACAGAGAAATAGCGTAAAAAATTCCTTCAAATGATTAGTATTTAAACGCTGTTTTTCGATGTTTTAGTTCTCTCCTGTTCACTCAACACATATCGTTGAATGAGTTTTCCTTGTCGTTGGAAAACCTTCATATTTTCGATATATTAACTAAAAAAATATTCGAAGATATGTGAGTATGGCTATGGCTATACGCTATGGGGTTGCGTAATAAACTATGCCCTCATAATCATCGTAATCATAATCAGTAGCATAATCGCTGTGCAGAGGAGGCCTTTGCTCAGTAGTAGGACAAGTCGAACCCTGCGTAGAACAACGATACATCTGCAAAATTATAATTGTTCAGGGTGGCCGGTTCAAGGTATATTTTTTTATTTTGTTCATAGTTTTTTTTATACATAGCAGTTGCTATTACAATTTTTGAGGTTTCTAATATGATTAGGTATATAGATAAACGTTGTAGGTACTTTTTGTATGAATAAGTACATAAATTTAGGATGTTAGAGGTTTCATGTGTAATAATGATGTTTTCCTATGGAATATTCTAAAAATAATAGGTCATACGTTCATATATAACGTTGTTTTACTAAAAACTCAGAAAAATTATATGTCATAAATGCATATAGTACTTTTTTTATACGAGAAAGTCATAAAGATGTGGGTGACTGTGATACTTCAGTAAAAAATGTAAACTTTGTCTAATAGTATTTTACACTTGAATATTACATTAGTAAGCCTAGTCTAGTCAGTAAAAAAAATCGTGTCCAAACGTACAAATATCTTTGTACTGCGGGGCACAAATCAGATAGAACGTTGTTCTGAATCTCAATATCTATAATTTAGATGAAAAAAAGTGTGTGTGTGTGTGTGTGTGTAACAAGATAAAAATTTAGAAAATAATTTTATCGTTCGCCTTATTCTACGTTTGTAGAAAAAATGACACTAACAATAGAAAAAGGTATATATTGAAATTCACCTTAACGCAGTAAATTCCAAAATACAATTCACTATGGAATTAGAGAATAATAACTCTTTAGCTTTCTTAGATGTTTTGGTCATCCGCAATTCAAACAACACTATAAGTCACACTGTGTATAGGAAGGCAACCCATACAAATAGATACCTAAACGGTGACTCTCACCACCATCCATCCCAGTTAGCTACCGTGGGTAAATCTTTGTTTCAGAGAGCACAAGGGATCTGTGACAAACAACACCTGGCCGCTGAGCTTCAACATGTCAAGCAAGTTCTGCATGACAACAAACTTCGAGCACCGCGCCTACGTCACAGTGACCGAGTGAAACCAGCCACAGTGGAGCGAGTACCTGCTGTTCTACCATATGTCAGAGGAGTCACCGACAAGATTGGCTATATCTTAAAGCGGGCTTCAATTAATACATTCTACAAGCCGCTGAAGAAGATTAGTCAGTTTTTACCATCTGTCAAGTGTAATATCCCTCTGCAAGATCCAGGAGTGTACAAACTTGACTGTGAATGTGGGCTCTCTTACATAGGACAAACGAAAAGAGCTATAAAAACCCGCGTGAAAGAACATATAGCTGACATAAAACATAGTAGATTAAACAAGTCTGCAGTTTGTGAGCACACTCTAAATCGGCCCAACCACTACATCAGGTTTGATAGACCACAGATCCTTGAAAAAAAAAACCGATTCCTCCCGAGGATGATTCGCGAGGCTATTGAAACTAAAAAACACCCTAATTTCAATAGAGAAGAGGGTTGGGTACTACCATCAGCTTGGGATCCTATCATCAATAAAATTAAATCTAAGCCCAAAAGAACCACTACTGCAAGACAAGATACAATTAGCTCCCTCTGCATAGATCGGACACAAAATCAATAATACAAAAACTGACGGTAGCCCGGGTTAACTTTGACAATCAGACGTCTAACACCTCAGTCTGTCCCGTGACCATGAACGCTGTAAAGGGTTCGAAACGTCGGGAACTAAAATTAAAAATAAACGCGATAAATCCGTAAAATTAGTTTCATTTACATTGAAAGTTTTATTATAAAGCATTATTTAGTTAAATAAAGTTTATTTAAATATCACAAAATAAATATCGTGAATAAAATTGTCAGTTCTCACGCAACATACGTAGGTGTCTAGCTAACTTCGGGGTGTCGCTTTTCGTGACGGTGTGCGCGCGCATTGAAAAAATTAACTCACATAATTTTTCCCTAACGCGCCAAAAGAAGTATAACTTCAAAAAATAAAATGTTATCTGAAAGCTAAGACAATAATTAAGACTTTCCGAAGATAATATCAAATTCGCTATATGTTACCACAGAACGTTATTCTGCGCATGGTGCGAAGTTTTCTTTTTATGCCCAAAATTGGTAAACGAACAGATGATTAACCTGATGTTAAATGATCAACAACAGAGGAGTTGCAGATGCCTTACTTTTTCGTCTGGTGAATGAGGTAAATGGGACCCCGTTACAAACGCGAAAGTATAATACTTCCATTTGACAGCTTTTTCTGTGAGGCCACGGTATCTCGCCGGCTGAGCCTGCCATTCGTGCAACAGCCGAAACTGCTTAGTTGCCTTATCGAACCTTATACTTGCTTGAGTATATTCCTATTTTAATACTAAAAAATCGGATTTTATGAATGTAATATCGCAATCAGTAGTTGTAATTTCCCTTAGGAGCTGAGTTCGTTCAACGTCGAGCACAACGATTTGAGCCCAGCCTGATACGAATTTCAAATCCGATAAACGTATTCAAAGAGC